GCCAAATAACTCCATCTCGTGGGCTCCGCCAGGGGATCCTTTGTCCCTATATTTGTTTATTATCTGTGCAGAGGGGTTATCATTGTTATTGCAACAGGCTCAGGATAGAGGAGATGTGCATGGAATAAGGGTGGCGAGAGGGGCTCCTGCTCTCTCACACCTCTTTTTTGCGGACGACAGCCTTCTGTTTTTTAAGGCAAATGTGGGTGAGGCACAGGCAGTAAAACGGTGTCTTACATTTTATGAGGAGCTATCTGGCCAGACCATTAACTATCACAAATCAAATATTTGTTTTAGTAGGAACACTCAGCAAGCAGTAAGAGATTTGGTGGCGGTGGAATTTGGGGTTCACCAGGCAGTAAATTTTGGAAAATATTTGGGCCTACCGGCGTTTGTGGGGAGGAATAAGCGTGCGGTGTTTGCTTATGTGGAGGATAAGGTGAGGCAGAGAATTGGCTCCTGGAATAAGAAACTTTTGTCCCGAGCATGTAAGGAAATATTACTGAAATCGGTTGCGCAGGCAATGCCTACTTTTACTATGAGTGTGTTTTTGTTACCTGACTCGCTATGCAAGAATCAGGAGCGTGTGATGAATAGATTCTGGTGGCGTAATGGGAGAGATGGGGGAGGAATACATTGGCTTGCCTGGGATAAAATGAGTTTACCAAAGAAGTATGGTGGGCTAGGTTTCAAGGACTTGAGAGCCTTCAATATAGCTATGCTAGGCAAGCAGGGGTGGAGGTTCTTTGGTGGCAAGGGTATATAAGGCCAGGTATTACCCAAATACAGATTTTTTGAGTGCCTCAGTTGGAAATAACCCGAGTTTCTCCTGGAGGAGTATAATGGCAGCCCAGGGACTAATTATTCGAAATATTAGGCGGAGGATTGGAAATGGTGACTCCACTTTGGTTTGGGGGGACCCGTGGTTGCTTAGTGACACTGAACCAAGAATTATGGCTGAAAAACCACCTCACCTAGGAGAGGTGAAAGTTTCGGGGTTGATAGACCCGGCATCCTCTACCTGGGACATCCCTTTGCTAAATGAGCTTTTTTCTGCGGAGGATGTGGAGCGTATTTCTGCAATTCCAATTAGTCCTGCCTATGATGATATGTGGTATTGGCATGGGGACCCAAAAGGAGTTTATACAGTAAAAGCCGCTTACCGTAATTTAATGGGAACTGTTATTGTACCCCCAAATGGTTTCTCATCTTGGAATAGAATTTGGAACCTTAAGGCACCCCCTAAGTGGAAGGTTTTTTTGTGGAGAGCGGTGAGAGGAGTGCTACCCACAACCATGAATTTATATAGTAGGAGGGTAGAAGTTCCACTAGCATGCCCATTGTGTGCTCTTTGTCCTGAAAATATTTTACACTCTTTGGTTCAATGTGACTATTCTAAATGTGTGTGGAATATTTCGGGCTTTATTGTGCAGAGTTCGGTGGAGGATGACTTTGGTGTATGGCTGGAATTATTACTACAGAATATTGATGAAAGTCAATTTACTTCTATGGTGGCCATTATGTACAATATTTGGTTACAACGGAATTCGGCGGTGTGGGAGCATAAGGTGGATAGACCACGGCCCGTGTATGAGAGGGCGATGGCGTCGCTGTCCGCGTGGCGCGCGGCTACGGTCCGGACGGAGAGGCAGCAGCAGATTCCCGCACCTACGGCCGCTGCTGGGCAGCCTACTGCGTGGCAGTGCTGCTCCTTTGACGCAGCGTACACGGCGTCTACAAGGGATGGGGCGTTTGGCATTGTATTACAAGACGCAACCGGGAACTTTATTGCAGCCAAGAACGGCCCTTTACCGTTATGTCAGGGACCCTTTATGGCAGAGGCTTATGCTTGTAAGGAGGCCCTTTCCTGGCTTAGGGATCGCGGAGTCATGGAGGTGGTGCTACGGTCAGATTGTTTGAACCTGTGTCATGCCCTTGGTAATTCAACGACGGAGTTTCGCACATACGATGGTTTAGCTGTTTCAGCATGTCGGGACTTGATGAATTGTTTAGTTTCCTGTTCTGTTATTTACATTCCTCGTACTTTGAATGTTTTAGCTCATTCGTTAGCTCAGTCAGCCTCGTTGCAGGCGAACTCTATGGTGTGGGAGGATGATCCTCCTACTTTCGTTTCGACTTTGATCAATTAATACATGCAGCAATTTACTTTCAAAAAAAAAAAAATGTAAACGACGCTATTTTTTAATTAGGTTGTCTCTCTTGTACAGAAAAGCAGACAAGTTAATATAATAGCAAATTTTCTGACATGGTATTAGAGCCAGAGATTCTTAGAATTCTTTTTTTCTTTCTCCAGATTTTTTTTTTCTTCTTCTCCATGAATGATTCATTCTCTGGGTTCCTAGATATATATGAGCAAATCTGAAATTCCTCGATCATCCTATCGGTACTGTTTTTGGATGGCTCTAATTAATTACATTCTACTGCCTTATCGATCACGTACTCCAGGTAATTCTTGGTTCTTACACTCAGGTTGCTGTAATCATATATATGACTTCTCAAATTTATGTCTTAATTTGTGCTGTTCTCAATATATCAGTGAAGGAGCTAATGTTATTTGTTATGCTAAAGAGATTAATATTATTTGTGCTAATGTTACAAAAACTTATAGGGTGGCACACAAAGATCAAAGGGTAAACAAATTTTATGAGTTTCAAAATTGTAATTGGCTCGTAGGAGTTGTGTCCCAAAACCGATTGCATGAGCAGGAACGATATATAGATATACTCAAGGTCGCTAACTACACATTAAAATTTAAAACCCATCTGAATTTGCACTCATCAGGACATATAATCAAAATTTAAACCCAATAATATGAGTAGAAGGGAATTTTAATTATCCATTGTGTTAGAAAAATTAGCTAAAAATAATATTTAGGGTGTGTTTGGTCCGCATATGAGAATCGAAATCGGAATCAAATACTTGGTAATGAGTTTTGGTAAAAAAAAAAAAAAAAAAAAACTTTTCGCATGTTTGGTGGTAGGGTGGAATTGAAGTGATTACCAATATTGATGTTTGGTTGTGTATGACCTATAAATAACTATAATAGGAATAAATGTTTTAAAAATACAAAAATAAAAAATCAAGACAATTGATCCTAATATAATGTCATCCAAAACATCAATATGAACAAAAAACAATCAAAATAAAAATCTAAAAGCACTAATCCAAAATTAAAAATTAGATTACCAATAAGATGGAATGATACCCTTTTATTAAATTAGGGAATGTGATTTTTAATTGAAAGGGTAATCAAAACTCATAGTTATATTTTAAAAAGTTGTCAACCAAACACTAACAATGATTTTAATTCTCATTCCTAATGTATAAACCCATGAACCAAACACGCCCTTAAAGTAATCAATTTATGTTATAATTTTAAGTGAATGCAGTCTACTTACGGGTTGGGTCGAATCAAAGTGGATTCAAATTCTACCAAGTAAGAGATTTAATTTACTTTCAAAACAGATAATGAGTGAATTATAGATTAATTTTTAAAGTGTATCTATTGTAGTTGGGAAAATGATGTTTGGTAAAGCTTGTAGTTAGCCTTTGCCCCAAATTCAATGTGTTTTGTGCATTGAATGTTGCACTGTCTTAATTTGTTCTTTTTCTCTATCAGTGAAGGATCTAACTAGTTTGTTTTGAAAATTAATTGGTTGTAATAAAATGCAAACAATAATATCAAATTCTTGTAGTGAGGCTTAAAGGTGATATTAGAATCTCAAGAGTGTAGCGTAAAAGAAGAATGACCCCAATTAGTTCTTGTCTCACTGGGCGTACCTAAAAAAAGTAACAAAGACAGATAAACGTTAAGGACAGAAAAGATGGAACTAACAAGCTAAGCTCTTTTAAATTTTTTTTTTTTTAAAAAAAAAAATACATTAGGTCTTCTAATGAACCCTAAGTTTCCAATTGAATTGGATTCATATCGCGGAATTGTTGTTACAGCAGAGCTTTAAGGTCAGCGATTGAACCAACTAAGCTAGATCTACGAAACTACTAATATAAGCTCCTTTCTTTCCATGTCTTAGTTTGGCGTTCAATACAAGGATCGGATTGGATGGGAGTATTTTACAAGAAGTTGTCACAAACAATGAAAATAGAAAAAAGCACACCAACGAAGTCTAGCTTAAAAATAATGTGTGCACGTCACTCTTTTTGTTTTTTATGATTTGAATTTGTTGGAGTGCATGGGACGATAAGAATAATTTATTTTTAAACCTTTTGATTATGTGATCTGGACATTCATCTTCATTCTTCTCATCCATTTCAGTTTCAATTCAATTCAAATATAATATTACTATATATATAAGTGACCTGGTGTTATAGTGAGAGACCACAAATATACATTTCATCGCGTTTGCACACATTTAATTCACGTTAGCACACACTTAATCTAATCTAGATCATTACAAAATATTAGATGAATGCACACGATTTGTTCTCACATTTTCATCTAAGTGTTCTCATATGATCCTATATATATATATATATATATATATATATATATATATATATATATATATATATATATATATATATAAACAAAATAAGTGTTAATACAGGTTATATCCTTGGTTTTTGTCCGTGTTATTATTGCTGATCTGTTTGTACATTGTGTTGTTAATATTGTACAAAATTCTTTAAAGACAAAAATGTCCCAGAATATTCTGTTACTGTTAACTATCATTTGCAACCACGTTTCCTCCTTCATCTTCTCATTTATCGCGTAAGAATATGAGATTTCCACCTTCATCGCCCAATACTCACAGACGTTTCTTCCTTCATCCTCCTTCATCGCCTAAGAATCTGAGGCTCAATTTACTATCATAACCAACAGGATAAGTTTCTCCTTCACTTCCTTCAGTTTCACCCTAATAGTAAGCACAAATTCCTATCAAGGATTTAAGCAATCAAAAGGAAAAACAAGATATTCGAAGCAGAGATGTGTAAGATTGAAGCAATGAAAGGGATTCAATGGGTTTGATCGTTGATCGCGGCTATGGTTTTTTCTAATTTTATTTATCAAAGGTAAATTTATTGATTAAAGCCTAATTTTTAAGTGGACGTTCTGAATCATTGTTATTGGTTGGAAATTAGATGCATTTGTTATATACTACTGGTTATAATTATCGTAATTGTTAGTCGAAATAGTATATGTTTAATAAAATCCAATTATTTGGAATTCGCACATATTTGTTCTACTGTGATTGCTTAGAAAGCACATATAAATTTCAGAATTTTTGAATGTTATAAATGGAAGGAATTACTAGGTGTTTGATTTACCTTTATGCTTTATTTGAAAAATCACAATTGTCCAGATAATGCCTGCCAAATAAAAGTGCATGCAGATTAAGATGACTGATACAATTTACTGGTTGTATTTTGTAATGTTTGCAAAGGTGGGGAAAAAAGAATTCTGTGTGTGTGTTTAGTTGCAAAGCTATTTCATGGGTGTCTAATTGCATGGTCCTGGGAGGGGGTCATAGTTCTCATTATAAACGATGATCATCACAAATTTTGATCATAGCATCTTAATGTCTAAAATTGATGCTGGTACTTGATTATATTCTACCGCGGCATGTGTCTTTCTGGTATTGACTGAGAAACATGAGAAATACAATAATCTTTGCATTCTGTTTTGAAGTGTATAACCAGCCATGAAATCCTACCTGTTTGTTTCACAACTAATCAACTTTTGTCTTTCTTATGTGTGCAAAGTTTCCTTTTTATCTACATGTCTGATGTATTATAATATATTTATATTTATGTTCATGGTTGAGTGATCTATGCTTTTAGAGATAAATCATGGAAGACCAAATGTATGACGTTACTCGTTAATACCCAACTTGTTGGGAAGGTTGCTTATGGTCTGCTGTGCTTTTACATCCATTTTGTAAAGAGTTTCATTCTTTTTTCCTGATGTTTTATTGTTTGGTTGATAGGTACATTTACCTCCCACATTGGCAGGCAATATAATTATTCTCCATCTGTAATTGTAATTGGTGGAGGTATTTCTGGCTTAGCGGTTGCACGTGTCCTCCAGAATGCATCTTCCAAGGTAGATTGAATTCATTTATCTTACATTCTTACCCTTATTGGCTGGAAACTTACTTTTTTTAGGACCAATTTCACTGTAACAAAGGCTGTATGGTATTGTACTAGGTGATATTGCTGGAATCAAGAGATAGAATTGGTGGACGTATTCAAACTGACTACTCGTTTGGTTGCCCTGTTGACATGGAAGCATCGTGCATGGTAAGTGTTTCTATTTCAGAAATTTTATCCAGAATGCACTTTTCTGCATTTTTACATGTAGGTTCAATGAGCTTGGTTATATAACTACTATTTGATTTAGTTAGAAACAATAAATATTGGATATTTTGTGTTCTTGTGCGTGTTAGTCATATATTATTTATTAGTCTTGTTATATATGTTTAGTCAATATTGTAACAGGAGAATAAGTCCTTAGTCATCCCTCTTAGATAGGAGTCTCTTACGTTAGTTGTTATTTCCCTTTATATTGTTTTCCTGTTCTTGTGCTGAATAATATCATCAAACATTTATCTAATCTGGTATTAGATAGACCGGGTTCTCTCTCTCTCACCTCCTTTGTCGATCTTTATCGCCGGCAATCACTCAATCCCCCACCATGTCCACGAACTCCTCTGAAAGAACAGTCACTGCCCGCGCATCAAACCCACCGGCGACTGCCTCCAATCCTCTCGCCGGTGCGAACCACCATGTTTCTATCAAACTCACCCATCGTAATTTTCTCTTCTGGAGAACTCAAATAATCCCTTTTCTTCGCGGCCAAGAGCTGTTGGGGTTCGTTGATGGCGATACGCCGTGTCCGCCGCCCACAGTCGAATCACCACCCGCTTCCGGCGGTTCAAATTCCGCAGCTACCACCACTGGTCCGATTCCCAATCCCGCGTACAAAGCGTGGATTAAGCAAGATCAACTGATCTTATCTCTGATCATTTCATCCCTCTCGGATGAAGTGATGCACCTCGCCGTCGGCAAGGCCACATCAAGAGAGGTCTGGGAGTCAATCATGGCGGCGTTAGGCAGCACCACCCGAGCCAGGTGTCTCAGCCTCCTCGGGCAGTTCCATTCTCTCCGGCAAGGGAGTGGCAGTGCGGTGGAGTATCTCGGACGTGCGCAGCTGCTAGTGGAACAGCTTGCGCTCGCCGGCAGGCCCGTCTCCCTTGACGAACAAAACCTGTTCGTCTTCCGCGGTCTCCGACCGGAGTATCGCGCCATGGCGTCATCGCTCACGGCAGCAGGGATTCCGGTGACGATTCCACAAATATCCGACTATCTGTAAGCCCAAGATTTCATACACGCTGATGACTACCCGGCCGGATCAGATGGCGGATACACGGCGGCCCCTTCTGCCTTGTATGTCGGTCGTGGAGGCCGGAACAATGATGGACGAGGCGGCAACGATGGTGGTAGACAAGGCCAGAACCGCGGCCGTGGCGGTAGAGGAGGCCAGTACAGAGGCCGGGGAGGACGGAACAACGCTCCTCGGTGTCAGATTTGTAAAGCCCAGGGCCCATACTGCAGTTTACTGCTTTAAGAGATATAATACACAGCCTCCTGCCCAAGCCAATATGGTGACTGCCGCGGATGAATCAGCGCCTCCCTCGTCGGCTTCGGGATGGTTTCCGGATACAGGCGCGTCGGCACATGCAACTCCCGACGTGTCCATGATGTCTCAGGCGGATGAGTACACCGGCGGGGATGTGTTTCGCGTTGGTAACGGCGCAGGTTTGGATATTTCTCACGTTGGTCATGCATCGATCCCATCTAAGTCACAAATGTTGCGTTTGTCTAATGTTTTATGTGTTCCGGATTTATCTGTGCCTTTATTGTCCGTTAATCGCTTCACTAACGACAATAACGTATTTTTTGAGTTTCATAAAAATTACTTTGTTGTGAAGGATTCCATAACTCGGGAGGTTCTGCTTAAAGGTCCAACATCCGGTGGTCTTTACAAGCTTTCTGTTCCGCAGTCTCCGTTTGCATTTTTGACTTCCCGGGCAACTCCTGTGGTTTGGCACCGTAGATTGGGCCACCCGCATGCGCACGTCCAAAATAAAATTCTGCAGTCTTGTCCAGTTGCGCCAGACAAAACCAATAAAGCGGGGTCGTGTACGCCTTGTCAGCTAAGCAAATCATCCAGATTTCCAATAGATAGGGTCTTTCATTCTAGTCAAAATGTATTGGATTTAATTTATACCGATATATGGGGCCCGTCTCCTGTAATCTCTAGTAGTGGTTATAGGTATTTTCTGCTATTTGTAGATGATTACTCGCGCTTCTGCTGGTTTTACCCCTTACGGGTGAAATCTGATATATATAAATGTTTTGAGTTGTTCCGTGTCATGGTAGAACGCCAATTTTCGCGTTCTATCAAGTCCGTCCAGTCCGATCTCGGCGGTGAATATCGCAAGCTGCACCATACTTTTAGCAAACTTGGAATTATTCACCGCCAATCCTGTGCCTACACACATGAACAAAACGGGCGCGTTGAACGCAAAAATAGGCATATAGTTGAAACCGGATTGGCACTATTAGCCGAAGGCTCCGTCCCGCTTCAATATTGGGACTATGCTTTCGAAACGGCTACGTGTCTAATCAACTATTTACCAACACCTACATTACAGTATGAAAGCCCATACAGTCGTCTACATAAACACTCACCCCCATACACTTTTCTACGTGTCTTCGGGTGTCGCTGTTACCCGTATCTGAGGCCTTATAATCGCCACAAGATCGAGTTCCGGTCGGCACCCTGTGTCTTCTTAGGTTACCCGTCGTCCTTTAGGGGGTACAGATGCATGAATCTAACTAATGGAAAAATCTACATCTGTCGTCACGTACGTTTTGATGAAACTAATTATCCCTTTTCAGACACAGGAAGTCAATCAACTACAACACAAGTGCCTCTCAATCTACCATGGGCCACCAGCCCGGTTTTAACCGAATGTTCACATGTGGAGCCAATTGTGGCACCCACTATTCCATCATCGGACCCCATACCATCAGGGAGTCCGACGCCCTTGGCTCGGGACACACCACCTTTGGCTTTGGAGGGGCCAAAACGGGTCGCACGGAAACGTGCCACTCGAACAGCACCACAGGTACGGGATCATGCTATGAGGCTACGACGCATGACACGAGGCACGAATGATCAATTTCAGGCTCTTAGTGCAGTTATAGATCCAACCTGCTACTCACAGGCAGTTGGGCACCCAGAATGGCGTGAAGCCATGGATCAGGAGTTCAATGCACTCCTACATAATAGCACATGGGTTCTAGTGCCTGCTAAACCACACATGAATGTGATTGGTTGTAAGTGGGTATTCCGCACCAAACGACAGGCTGATGGCTCTATTGAGCGTTATAAAGCACGCCTCGTTGCGAAGGGGTTCAACCAGGTTGCTGGGGAAGATTTCTTTGACACATTTAGCCCTGTGGTCAAACCGACTACAGTCCGGCTACTTTTCTCCCTAGCAGTGTCCAATAGCTGGACCATGCGGCAGTTAGATGTTCATAATGCATTTCTGAATGGGCATCTAGCTGAAACAGTATACATGAAGCAACCGCCTGGCTATGAGGATCCTGTTCATCCTGATCATGTATGCCATCTACAGCGGTCCTTATATGGTCTTAAACAGGCCCCACGGGCCTGGTTCAAAAGGCTACACTATTTCTTGATATCCGCAGGTTTTGTGCCATCTAAAACCGACGTTTCTCTTTTTCATTACTCTACCGGATCATCCAGAGTATATCTACTTGTGTATGTTGACGATATAATCATGATGGGGAATGACCCACCTCTTATTACTACTTTGCTGCACCGGTTATCTACTGCATTCAAAATTCGGGATCTAGGCACCCCAGGGTTCTTTCTTGGGATTGAAATGTTACAAGTTGAAGGGGGAATCATGCTATCCCAGCGGCGCTACATGAAGGATATTCTAAACCGGGCTGGTATGTCGGACTGCAAACCTTTAGCAACCCCGGCTGCTGTTACACAGTCTGTTACACCGTCGGACCAGCTTCATGATAATCCGACGCAGTATAGGCGCATTGTAGGTGCCCTGCAATATCTCACCATTACTAGACCCGACCTCTCTTATGCTGTCAATCGACTCTGTCAGTTCATGCACTCACCGTCCGTTAATCACTGGGGTCTCTTGAAACGTGTTGTTCGGTATGTCAAGGGTACTCTTGAGTATGGTTTACGTATTACAGTCTCTGCTTCCTCGGCTATTCATGCCTTCTCTGACTCCGATTGGGCCGGCTGTCCGTTAGATAGGAAGAGCACGAGTGGCTATGCTGTATTCTTGGGGACTAATCTCGTCTCCTGGTTGTCTCGGAAACAGCGCACTGTAGCACGCTCCTCTACTGAGGCTGAATACAAGGCTCTAGCAGATGTATCTGCTGAGGTCACTTGGGTTGTTTCGTTGCTTCGCGAGTTGGGTCTACATACTGGCGAGCCGACTACTCTGTGGTGTGATAATCTTGGGGCCACCTATCTCTGTGCTAATCCCGTGTTCCACGCCAGAACCAAACACGTGGAAATTGATTTCCATTTTGTACGAGACAAAGTTGCCTCAGGGGACTTAGTGGTTAATTTCGTCTCAACAAAGGACCAGATTGCATATATCTTCACCAAACCCTTGGCTGGTCCACGTTTTGCTACTCTACGTGACAAGCTCAATGTGGTGACTCACCGACCTTGTCCTTGAGGGGGAGTGTTAGTCATATATTATTTATTAGTCTTGTTATATATGTTTAGTCAATATTGTAACAGGAGAATAAGTCCTTAGTCATCCCTCTTAGATAGGAGTCTCTTACGTTAGTTGTTATTTCCCTTTATATTGTTTTCATGTTCTTGTGCTGAATAATATCATCAAACATTTATCTAATAGTGCGCTCCTTTTTATAATTGTTGGCCACAATATTTTATTATACTATAGATCACTACCTTAAGAAAGCATATTTTGTTTCAGGCTACATGGTGTTTGTAATGAGAATCCTTTGGCTCCAATGATAAGGCGCTTGAGCCTCAACTTATATAGTACTAGTGGTGACAACTCTGTACTGTATGACCATGATCTTGAGTGAGAACTTACCTTTCACCAGATCATCTAAAAATCTAGATTAATATATTATTACTGCGCTATGGTATCAATGCATCACTTATGCACTTGTGGATCATCTCAGTCAAAGTTT